ATCGTGGGAACAGCTATATTTTGATTGCATTTGTTGATTAAGTTCCAGTCGCGACAGATACATGTAGCTCAGTCTTTTGTAATCGGCGGAAAAGTACTCTGAAGGCAAGATCCAGAAAAGTGAGCCTGACCCAAGGAACGGCAAATTATGTAAATACTGTCTACTTTATTCATCAGGGGAAATACTCGAATCACTCGCAGGGAGTTTGTTTACGCTGACGATAAACGAGCACACCATTGTAAATGTTTGCTTGTATTTGTGCTTCCAGCTTAGAATAATGTATTAAAATATACTTTTACAAATCAGTCAGCTTTTACGCTTAAACATTACCAGTTAATGTGAGAATATTTAGCACGAAATTTGAAGGCTACAAATGGAAATATTGTAGTTCTATTAAACTTGTGGGTCTACGGAAACTGGCACTGTCACGCAACTATCAACAAATCGTAGTCACGGTAAGGGGACCTCTTAATGAAATGGACTTTGACACTATGATATATCTGTCTGTAAAACCCTCGGTTGCCGATGAAAAACGTTGTCATTAGTAACAGTCAAAGGTTGAAGTCAGCTAGTGAAATCATTTAAGGTATATATATTAAAGTAACGGCGTCGAACGCACTCTCATAATCTTTGATTACTACTAGTTTAAATATTTATTTGTCTACGAGAGTACGAGAGTGAGTCACGTGGTCTTGCGTCCCATGGCGCACTAGTCTGAGTCAGCCATTTCGCCCGGCTGTTTGATTAGGTCGATTAGAACTGTTTACAAGTACAGAAAATGTTGCTTCTTGACAAGTCTAATGACCGATTTATTACAGGCTAATCACCAAGGGCGGATAGGCACATCAAAAACAAAGTCTACAGGACCCCACTGTCCCGCCTCGATCGCTTCGCTCATTCTTATATTTCGTGCTCTCTGATTTTTTTTCCCGTCATCGCCAAGAGCCTGTTCGCAGGCTAGAAACATCGTGGTAGTATTTCCGTGGCTAGTGACAAGCTTCCATGAAAATGATTTCGCATAGCCTGAGGGCAGGCGTTTGTTTTCTTCGGCTGAAATACACTGATCAAGCGTAGCCGGTGAACATGGCGGAATGAAACAAAAGTCGGAAATGCGTCTGTGCCGCATCAAGTTCTTCGGACATTCAACACTAGTCTATTGTTCTCAGCAACGCCGTGGCCGTGGGAACAGCGCTGCGCACTATTACTATTACTTTTAATAGCTTGCTACTATGTCAAAGAGGCAGCAGATCCAGGGTATCCAGAAAAACCTTGTAGTTAAGTTAAAGGATTTTCATATCACACTTCGCGATCGCCCGATTTAGTTTTAAGTCGAACCTGTATTAAGAGCCATTAAACTGCACCGTATCAAGCGGTCACCCTCTATTATGCGATCAGTTTTTTCAAGTAAGTCCCCCAATTACTGTAGTTTTGACCTCTATTAAGCGGCCGCGGTCACCATTTTAGACATTTTACGGACTTTTTCTATTGTCTTGACCTGCATAAAACGGTCGCACGATGTCAATTACTTGTTGAAACAATAACACGCGAGGTACAACAAATGATTTCGTTGTTTATTTTCGCAAATCATTAATTAAAACGCCGGAAATGAATGTTTCTAAGTTGAGGTCAAATGTCTTTTCAGCACTGATTTTATTTAAAATCTTTTTGTGGATGCCGTATCCTAGATACCGGCATCCTCTTTGCGGTCATGTTGTAATGTAACAATAGAAG